TCCCTCGCCCTTGATATCTGATTGGGTTCTTCATTCTCCACCACGCTCCAGGTAATGTCTGATCATCTTGGCCTGTCTTCAGCAAGAACTCTGTTGGGTTGGTTTAGCAGAATCCACCTTTACCCCTGATACTTCTTCTTAATAATTTTCTATCCACAAACTGCTCCTTGGCTATAAACTCCCACTTGCAGCTGGGTGTGGTGGCTTACACCTATAATCCCAGCACTTTGGGAGGCTGAGGCAGGAGGCTAGCTTGAGGACAGGAGTTTGAGACCAGCCTGGGCAACATACTGAGACCCCATCTCTATAAAAAAATTTTAAAAAATTGGCCAGGTGTGGTGCTTCTTGAGTCCTAGCTACTCAAGAAGTTGAGGCAGGAGGATTGCTTGAGCCCAGGAGTTTGAGGCTGCTGTGAGCTATGATTGTGCCACAGCACGCCAGCACAGAGCAAGTCCCTGCCTTTAAAATGAATACATAAATAAATTTCCATTTGCCCATGTTTTATTGAGAGTTTAGCCAAAAGACCCCATTGCTGTGGTCCCTATACCTATCTTTTTTTTTTTTTTTTTTTTTTTTTGAGACAGAGTCTTGCTCTGTTGCCCAGGCTAGAGTGCCATGGCGTCAGCCTAGCTCACAGCAACCTCAAACTCCTGGGATCAAGCAATCCTTCTGCCTCAGCCTCCCGAGTAGCTGGGACTACAGGCATGCGCCACCATGCCCGGCTAATTTTTTCTATATATATTTTTAGTTGTCCAGCTAATTTCTTTCTATTTTTAGTAGAGACAGAGTCTTGCTCTTGCTCAGGCTGGTCTCGAACTCCTGACCTTGAGTGATCCTCCTGCCTCAGCCTCCCAGAGTGCTAGGATTACAGGAGTGAGCCACCATGCCCTGCCCCCTATACCTATCTTGATCGACCTGAATAAAAGTCTTCCTTATTGTGTTTTAACAAGTATCATTGAATAGATTTTTTTTTTGGGTGGTGGGGCAGTCTCTCTGCCTTCACCTTTTAATGACCAGTAATAATTTTTTCTTTCACAGAATCTAGATCCTAAACTTCGGGGGAATCTCCTGCATTTCCCCAAAGAGTATTTTTGTATTATTTTGTTTTGCCAGAGCCAAGAGCATCTGTCTGGGCTCAGACCACACTACCCTTGAGCATGGCTCCTTGGCATGCTGGGTACTTTTGAGCTGAAGGAGACAGGAGGCCCTCGGAAGCAAGAAAGTCATTCTCTGACCTTCTGCCAAATTCCTGTATCCACTTTGTCCCTCAAAGCAAGCCATAAAATCTAGAAAGGTCAATCTGTGACTTACCTCCTCTGAAAGCAGGTCATAAGAGCCATATGTGACATGCCTCCTTCCTCATATCAAGAGGAAAGGAATGCTACACAGAGAGGCCAAACAGGACTTGTTGAGCCCCCCCCCCCAGATTTATTACGGTTAGGTCATATACCTTTTTGTCCAATCACATTTCTACGTTACTATGCACTTCTTTCGTTAGACTTAGCATAAAAATGTACATTTTTCCCTGATCTTTATATCTGAAGGCTTCTGTCGTGTAAAACTTTGCTAAATAAGTTTGTTACGCTTTTCTTTTGTTAATCTGTGTTTTGTTATAGGGGTGTCAGCCATGACTCTTGTCGACTGAAGAATCGGGGATGCTGCTAAACATTCCCTCGCGACAAATAATCATTTGGGTCAAAGTGTTAGTAGTGTTGAGATTTAGAGAACCTGCTGTAACTGCCAACTGAAACATGAAATGCAATGAAAAGCTTTCCAAAGGTTTCTGTTTAACCCTTAGAGAAGAAAGCCTAACAGCGGCGAGCGAGGGAGGGAATAATGAGGCGTGTCCAACCTCCCATGCCGTCATGGCTGGGTTTTCAGTTTTTAAGGTTTCTCTAGAGTCCCTTTGGCCAAAAGAGGGTCCATTCGGTTGTAGAGGTGCTTAGAGCATCATTTTTATTTCTCATAACACATCTGAGGCACCCGATGCGTGAGGTCTCACCGGGAAATGAGTGTAGCTGAAGGAGAGAGGGGAGCGGAGGCTTGTGGTTTTCCAACACACTGAAGTCAAGACAGAGGAGTGAGGAGGGGCCAGTGAGGAGGAAAGAACGCAAGAGAATGTGACAGCACCAGAGATGGAACAGTGTTTTAGGAAGGGGGAAGGAAAATGATCAATAATAACAGCACCACCTAACATTTACAATATCAGAAAATTTTCCAAGGACTTTAATTAATTAAGCATTTAATAACTCTGTGAAGTAGGTAGTCCAGTTTATAGATGACAAAACTGAGGCACAGATCTACAATGTTAAATGCTGGTGAAAAGTTGAATAGAGTAAGGGCTGAGATCTGACTGTGGGGTCTGACAAAGTAGAGGACGTTGCTGACTATGACAAGAGAGGTTTCAGAAGAATGGAACGATGCCAGTAGAAATCTCATTAGTGTGGTTTAAGGAGAAAATGGGTGATGACCAAGTGGAGACATAAAGTGCAGACAATTCTCTTTCTTTTTTGTTTTTCTTTTTTTAGAGACAGGGTCTTGCCATGCTGCCCATACTGGCCTTGGACTCCTGCCTTCCCAGTAGCTGGGACTACAGACATCCACCACCACGGCTGGCTCTTTCTGTTTCAAAGAGGAAAAGAAATAGTAGCCAAAGGACAATATGAGGTCTAAAGAGGATCATTTATTTCCTTTTTTTTTTTTTAAGAAGAAACATAGATCAGCAGTTTGTTTTGTAGAATAATCCAGTACAGATCAAAAAACTTATTATTCAGGAAAGTGATTTAGAGAACTGCAGAAGCAAGTACTTGGCAAGAGGATAGGATTGCAATGGGTAAGTGAGAGGGCTGGACTTCGAGTGGAGCGTTGGCAGGTTGTTCACTGTAACAGGAAGGAAGGCAGAGCAGGTGGCTATAGGCAGGAGTAGGCTGGTAGATTCTGTACTGGTAGGATGAAGCACTTTTATCTAATTGTATCTTTTTTTGCAGTGAAATAAATGAAATGTGACATTATCAGCTATGAGTGAGGCAGAGGAAGAGTGTTGGTCTGAGGAGAGAGAAAATAATGTGGAACAGTTGTTTAGGAAAGTAGGTGAGGCAAAAAACTAGGTGCTGAGGTCCCACCTGATATTTGTGGTAACAAATTTAGAGACAGTTCACGGAGAGTGGGGAGGAAAGTAGCGTGAGGGCGAGTTTGCATTGACATGAGCTTTTTGGAGATGGGATATTTGTCCGAGGAAGGAGGCGAAATAGTCTTGAAGTTGCAAGGATCACGAGAAATGTCATGTATTCTACTCTCAAGTCCTGTGACACATGAGATGTAGGAGAAAACACATTCACTTCTAGACAGGGCTGCAGGGGAAGCAGTTCTCAGAGGTAAACCATGTTCCAGTTAAAGTAGGAAGGTAAGGGAGGAAACAGTTAACGGCAGGGGATTTTGCTGATGACAGAGTGAATTTCCAAGGACGCAATACAGTAGAAGGCTTTGGAGCACCTGGGGCAGGGGCGATTGGATCAGACTGAGGAATGCACACAGCTGTGTGTGAATCTGGAGGATTAGAATTTGGGTGGCGACTGAGGTAAATAGGGATTAGCCTTGATTGTGTTTTATTTTGGGGGGTAGTTTTAACATTTTTTGTTTACTGTGTAACTTAAATGCAGTCATATTTACCCTTTTAGTGCATATACTGAGTTTTTTTTTTTTTTTTGAGACAGAGTCTCACTCTTTTGCCTGGGCTAGAGTGCCGTGGCATCAGCCTAGCTCACAGCAACCTCAAACTCCTGGGCTCAAGCGATCCTCCTGCCTCAGCCTCCCGAGTAGCTGGGACTACAGGCATGCGCCACCATGCCTGGCTAATTTTTTCTATATATTTTTAGCTGTCCAATTAATTTCTTTCTATTTTTAGTAGAGACGGGGTCTCGCTCTTGCTCAGGCTGGTCTCGAACTCCTGAGCTCAAACAATCCGCCTGCCTCGGCCTCCCAGAGTGCTAGGATTACAGGCGTGAGCCACCGCGCCCGGCCCATATACTGAGTTTTGACAAATGCATACAATTGTGTGGTCACTACCACAATCAAGGTATAGTTCCAACATTCCAAAAACCTCCCAATGTCCCTGTGTAGTCAACTCCTCCTCACCCCCCAGTTCCTGGCCACTACAGATCTGTGTTCTGTAGCTGGTTTTGCCTTCTCCAGAATGTCATATAGACAGTATGGAAGCTTTGGAGTCATGGTGATACTGCTGGCATCAGTAGTTTATTCCTTTTTTTATTGTTGAGCAGTATTGTATTCTATGGACACGCCACTGTTTATTTATTCACCAGTGGAAGGGCATTTAAGTTGTTACTGGTTCTTGCCGATTACAAATAAAGCCCCTGGAAACATTTGCATAAGGTTTTTGTGCAAATACACGTTTTCATTTCACTTGGATAAATACTTAGGAACGGGATTGCTGTTGTAAAGTAAGCAAAACATTAACTTCATAAGTAACTGCTGAACTATTCAGCAGAGTGATTGTGAGTTCATTTCTTTTTAAAATTCATTGAGGAGTTACCATGTGCTAGGAGCACAATGGGACAGAGTTGAGTAGTTGTGGCAACACATTTATTTTATAGAATTAGACTGTTTAATTAGGCAATATAATAAAAACCTTGATCTTGAAAAAGACAGAAATAAAAGTGTTTTTAAGTTACTGGGAAATATCTTGTTATCGAATGCAACGTACAAAAAGATGCATGTTTTCAATTTCCCGTAGTCATTGAAAATTGAGCTTGATACTTAAAAAGGGTAAGGATGTTCTCCAAATCATTGTATTTTCATACAATTCTGCACTCATCACATAATTTGGCCCAAGAGTACGTGCAACAGACACATTTTTAGGAGGATGGGAAGGGGCATTTCTCCCTCCCAAGAAGAGGCCCGGCCAGTAGCTGGGCTTCCACGTCGTGCGCATGCGCAATGCGTTCCGTTGGCGCCTGGAATGCGCAGGCGCGTCGCTTCGGCGCCGGCCTTTGCGGGTGGGCGGGGCCTGCATCGGCGTCTCTTCTTCCAACTGCGGCCTGTGGCAGCGCCATTTTGAATGTGCGGCTGCCGCGGGCGAGAGTCGGAGGAGGCAGGGCTGCTGGCTCGCCTACCTTGCCGTCTCCGACTTTTCTTATTTCGCTTCCAGAAATACACGTAGAGACGTATACGTGTATACAGACCGGCCCGTATCCGGTATCCGAGGCGAACTCCCTAAGATGATGTTAAGAGGAAACCTGAAGCAAGTGCGCATTGAGAAGAACCCGGCCCGCCTTCGCGCCCTCGAGTCCGCCGCGGGCGAGAGCGAGCCGGCGGCTGCGGCGGCCATGGCGCTCGCGCTGGCGGGGGATCAGGCGCAGCCCGCCCCCGCGCCCCCGGAGGACCACCCGGACGAGGAGATGGGGTTCACCATCGACATCAAGAGTTTCCTCAAGCCGGGCGAGAAGACGTACACGCAGCGCTGCCGCCTCTTCGTGGGAAACCTGCCCACCGACATCACCGAGGAGGACTTCAAGAGGCTCTTCGAGCGCTATGGCGAGCCTAGCGAGGTCTTCATCAACCGGGACCGTGGCTTCGGCTTCATCCGCTTGGTGAGTCTCGGGCCGCCCGCGCGAGGGAACAAAGGAGCCGTCGGGGTGGCCGCGGGGGCGCGGGGCCGGGGCCCCCTAGTCGTCCTGCGGCCTGTGACAGCCGCGGCGTCCCTGGCTCTCCGTTCCTCCGGTGCGGGGTTGGCCGCTTTCCCGGCTCGGCGCCTTAGCGTTCGACTTCGAGCGCGCGGGCCGGGGCTTCCTGCGCCCCGGGCTGCCGGCGTTGCTGCTTCGCGCTGACTGCGGGCCTGCTGCCCTGCCCGGATGGTTAGAGCTGCCTGGCTCCCCTGTGCTCCGGGTGCCCACTGAGGTCGCGGGGAGGGGCGGGCAGCGTTTCAGGGTGAGAATTCTTCGAGGCAAAATTGTGTTGTAAAGGAAACAAATTGGGTATGACTTTGGAACAGAAGCTACTGGACGTGAAGCACTAAATAGCCGACTTGCTTCTGAAATAATCATTCCGATCATCTCCTTGGTCTCAAGCAGACTTGCATGCGTTTAACGCTAAACCTCTTCTCTCCTCGGCGGAGCCCGCTATTTACCTTTAACTGCCAAGGTGCCCAAACTCTGTACTCGAGGAACGCTGTTCCATCTGCAGAATGGGACGGTGTTGAATGCTGGAGAAGCATTCTGGAGGTTTCCACGTTTTTCGATGATACTACTTTCTATGTTACTTAAACATTCTAATATTAAAATAGTATATATTTTATTGCCACTTAGTCTAAATTTTGAAGTTTTCCAATACTTATTCAAAAACTCCATCTCCTTTATATTTTTTAAAAATTTGAACAGTGAAGAGTTTACACTTATAGGACAAGGTATCTACTTTTATTAGATTTTCCTGTGTGCTTTGTAGTGAATTAATTCATCAGTGTCAGTTATACATTATTATTATAACGTATTTAGAAGCTGGATTTTTTTTTCAAAGTATATTTTTTAGAGGAAGACATTTTTATGCAATAAGTGATTTTTTTGGTTGTCTTTTTAGTTTAGACCCTCAAATCTGATATTCGTTGCAGTTTGTGAAAGCTTTCTTATTGGAACTTTAAAAATCGAGTTCTTTTGTGTGGGCAATGCAAAATTTTAATGCGTAGAGAAAATTGATTGTAATTAAACGATACTGTATTTTTTTAGTTTTTACAGATAATGCAAAAGAGAAAAGTAAATAAAAAGGAGAGGAGATTTGTCTGGCAATGGAGAGGTGGGATGTTTTGTTAAGATATAAATATCAGAAACATGTAGGCTGGGCGCGGTGGCTCACGCCTGTAATCCTAGCACTCTGGAAGGCCGAGCCGGGAGGATCGCTTGAGCCCAGGAGTTTGAGGTTGCTGTGAGCGAGGCTGACGCCATGGCACTCTAGCCGAGGCAGCAGAGTGAGACTATGTCTCAAAAAAAAAAAAAAAAGAAAGAAACATGGAGGGTTTAGAGAATTATTCTTTCAATGGTAGTTTCTGGTAACTGGCACTTGGTCTCAAAAAGTAGTATGTGTTTCTTTTAATATATGTAGGAGATTTTTTTTTTTTTTTGAGACAGAGTCTCACTGTGTTGCCCGGGCTAGAGTGCTGTGGCGTCAGCCTAGCTCACAGCAACCTCAAACTCCTGGGCTCAAGCAATCCTCCTGCCTCAGCCTCCCGAGTAGCTGGGACTACAGGCATGCGCCACCATGCCCGGCTAGTTTTTTCTATATATTTTTAGTTGTCCGATTAATTTCTTCCTATTTTTAGTAGAGACGGGGTCTCGCTCTTGCTCAGGCTGGTCTCGAACTCCTGAGCTCAAACAATCCGCCCGCCTCGGCCTCCCAGAGTGCTAGGATTACAGGCGTGAGCCACCGCGCCCGGCCTGAGTGATGACTTTTAACAGGAAAATAGGGTTGGGACTTTTTACTTTTGTTTAAAATGATCTTTGAATAGTTAATAAAAACCTTGTTATACCAAAGTTAAAAGATACAAAACCAAAGTGATCCTATCAGCCATTTCCTAAAAGTATCCAGTTTTCCCTAGAAGCAAAGCACTGTTGTAAATTTTTTGTGTTACCATTATCTTTAAAAAATGATTTTTCTTCTTAAAAAGGAATCCAGAACGCTGGCCGAAATTGCAAAAGCAGAGTTGGATGGCACCATTTTGAAGAGCAGACCTCTCCGAATTCGTTTTGCTACACATGGCGCAGCTCTAACTGTAAAGAACCTTTCTCCAGTTGTTTCCAATGAGCTTCTAGAGCAAGCGTTTTCCCAGTTTGGCCCAGTAGAGAAAGCTGTTGTGGTTGTGGATGATCGTGGTAGAGCTACAGGAAAAGGTTTCGTAGAATTTGCAGCAAAACCTCCTGCTCGAAAGGCTCTTGAAAGATGTGGTGATGGGGCGTTCCTGCTAACAACGTAAGTTTTAAATATCTTGTCCTTCTATCCAATTACATGTGGGCTTCTCTCTGTTCTGGAATTCCGTCTTTGTTTGTAATTCATACTGGCATATGGTAAGTAGGTGTTGAGTAATATTCAGTGAATATAAATAAGGAATTTTTCTGTACTGGCAGGAATCAGAAGTTATATACTTTCTTCAAACATCAGTGTACTGATTCATAGTTGAATCTCAGGAATGTTTTGTATTATCATTTTCATTTAGCTTACTGAATATCTATATGCAAAGCAAAATATTATTAACAGAGTAACTCTTTAAGAAATTTTAATCAACTTTATTGAGGCATAATTTACATATATTAAAAAGCTTCTTGGGCTTGGCATGGTGGCTCACGCCTGTAATCCTAGCACTCTGGGAGGCTGAGGAGAGAGGATTGCTTGAGGTCAGGAGTTTGAAAGCAGCCTGAGCAAGAGCAAGAAACCTATCTCTACAAAAAATAGAAAAATTAGCCCAGCACAGTTGGCACATGCCTGTAGTCCCAGCTACTTGGGAGGCTGAGGCAGGAGGATCACTTGAGCCCAGGAGTAAGCTATGTTGATGCCCCTGCACTCTAGCCTGGTCAACAACGCAGGACTTTATTGCAAAAAAAAAAAAAAAAGGAAAAAGCGTCTTGTTTTAAATGGAGAGCTAAGTGAGTTTTAACAAATGTATGTACTTGTGTGACTCACTCCCATAATCAAAATAGAGAACATTTCCATCATCCCGAAAAAGTTCTCTTGTGCCCTTTTGTGATTATTCCCTACCCCTTATCCTTGCCTTAGACAGCTATTGATATTTCTGTTTCTGTAGATAAGTTCGTCTGTTCTAATATTAAATGAAATCGTATAGTATGTACTCTTCCATGTCTAGCTTCTCTTGCTTAGCATCATGTTGATGAGATTCCATTTGTATTATGGTGTATTCAGTATTTTGTTGCTTTTTGTGGCTAACTCATATTCCATTGTACGAACATAACTATAGTTTGTCCAGTGACGTGGGTGGAAGTTTGAGTTGTGTCCAGCTATTGGCCATTGTGAATAAAGCTACTGTGAACATTTGTCTGCAAAGCTTCTTGTGAACATTGTGCTTTCAAGTGGCTTGGGTAAATATTTAGAGGTAAATTGCTGTATGTTCAACTTTGTAAGAAACTGCCAAAGTGTTTTCCAAAGTGGTTGTACCACTTAACATTCCCACCCGCAATGAATGAGAGGCTTCTGGTTGCTGCGTAAAATAATAACACTTGGTGTTTTTAGTCTGTTAGATACTATAGTTAGTGTAGGGGAATCTGATTGCGGTTTAAATTTTATTTTCCTGATGACTAATGATGAGCATATTTTCATGTGCCTTTTGGCCAGTTATATATTTTTTGTAAAGTGTCTGAAGTTTTTTGCCCAGTTAATTGGATGGTTTGTCTTTTTACTGAATTATTAAATCTAGGTACATGTCTGTATTATGAATATTTCTCCTAGTCTGTGGCTTTTCAATTCTCATCACAGTGACCTTCAAAGAGCAGAAGTTTTTATATTTTGTGAAGTCCAGTTGTGGTCATTTTTTTCTTTTATGGTTTGTGCTTTATATACTCTTATGTGTCCTTTGCCTATCCTAAGGTTGCAAAGCTTTTCTCATGTTTTCTTTAAAAATTTTATAGCTTTTATAGTTATACCTATCATATATTTTGAATATCATGTGAGTTAAGAATTCTTTTTTCTTCATGTAGATCTCCAGTTGTTTCAGCACTATTAATTGAGAAGATTATGATTTCCCCCTTTGTTACCTTTACACCTTTATCATAAATTTGGGGGAAAAAATCTTCACTCTTGTTTCATTAATCGGTATGTCTATTCCCAAACTGCACTTACTTAATTACCTGATTTAACGTAAGTTTTGAAATCAGATAGTATAAATCATCCAACTGTTTTCACAATTTTTTTTGGCTATTTAGGTTCTTTGTATTTCCTTATTGTGTGGTGCTGTCAGCTATTGGTTGAGATCATTCAAATATTTTAGTGTTTAGGGAATAGAAATAAAAAAATTGTTTCCTGGCCCCATGGAACTTAGTTTGGTGATTTGTAAAACCTTTTTCAATTTGTTTTTAACTGTTAAGCATTCGTGCTAAAAACTGAAACCCGAGCTACATCTGCTATTTTACAACATGGCCAACTTTTTTCGTTTGTCAGAGACTTTGGTCTTGTTCCCTGTGCTTACAGAATGCTTTCTCTTCAGATTGTTGGCAAGTTTTTTCCATTTTATTCACACTTTGTTAAAAATGTTATCTTCTCAAAAAGTTGGCCATTCTATCTTTAAATAGCCATCCTCTCTGCACTGTCACTGATAACTTACTCCCTAATTTATTTTTCTTCCTAACACTTAACTATTTTAATTTGTATGTCTTTCTCTGCAAGTAGAATGCAAGCTCCATGAGGTCAGGGACTTATCTTGTTCAATAATATAATTTCAGCACCTGTATTCTAATAATCCCTTGCCACACTGTAAACTTGTGGTAATTATTTCATGAAGAAACTAAACCAATAGGCAAGGCATGTGATAATTTATGTGATTATTTTTTTTTACATCAAAGGCTTTGATTAATTGGTGTTTTTTATTTATTTATTTATTTTAGGGTTAATTGGTGTTTTTTAAAGTCGTAGCTAGGCTTGGTAAATATTTAACCATTTCTTTTCTTTTTTTCTTTTTTTTTTTTTTTTT